GTAAAACTGCACCAGCATCTGTGCAGGCAGCTTGGCTTTCCTGAGCTGCCGCAGGAAGTACATCCTCTGCTGGGCCTTCTTGATGAGGGAGCTGATGGTCGGCTCCCACTTGAGGTCCTGGGTGATGGTGGTGCCCAGGAAACAGAAGGACTCCACAGAGGTGATGGGGGAGTCCATCATGGAGGGTGGGGGCGGGAGGACAGTGCTCTTCCTGAAGTCCACAATCATCTCCACTGTCTTCTGGGCGTTCAGCTCCAGGTTGTTACCACTGCACCAGGACACCAGCCGGTCCACCTCCCTCCTGTAGGCGGACTCATCGTTGTTGGAGATGAGTCCAATGAGGGTGGTGTCGTCCGCGAACTTGATCAGCTTCACTGAGTCGCGGCTGGAGGTGCAGTGGTTGGTGTACAGGGAGAAGAGCAGGGGAGAAAGAACACAGCCCTGTGGGGCTCCTGTATTTATAATCCGAGAGTCCGAGACATTCTTCCCCAGACGCACTCGCTGCTTCCTGTCCGTCAGGAAGTCAGTGATCCACCTGCAGGTGGAATCGGGCACGTTGAGCTGGGAGAGCTTGTCCTGGAGCAAGGATGGCAGGATTGTGTTGAAGGCAGAGCTGAAGTCCACGAACAGGACCCTGGCGTAGGTCCCCGGGGAGTCCAGGTGCTGTAGGATGTGGTGGAGGGCCAGGTTAATGGCGTCGTCTACAGATCTGTTGGCTCTGTAGGCGAACTGCAGGGGGTCCAGGAGGGGGGAGGTGAAGGACTTGAGATGGGAGAGAACCAGGCGTTCAAATGACTTCATGACGACAGACGTAAGTGCTACAGGTCTGTAGTCGTTTAGTCCTGTGATCCTGGGCTTCTTCGGGACGGGGACAATGATGGAGGATTTGAAGCAGGCCGGGACATGGCAGGACTGCAGAGAGGTGTTGAAAATGTCAGTGAACACAGGAGTAAGCTCACTGGCGCAGTATCTCAGAGTGGCCGGAGACACGTGGTCCGGGCCAGGAGCTTTGCGGGGGTGCAGCCTCAAGAAGAGTTGTTTAGTCTCTTTAGGGGCTATTGTTAGGCTGGGGGCAGGGCTGATGGGTGGGTCGTTAGAGTAGTGGGGGGTGGGGGAGGGAGAGGTGTCAGGGGCAACATCAAAGCGACTGAAAAATAAGTTCAGTTTGTCAGCTAGCTTGTGGTCGTCAGCACAGGGGGGGGGCTTTGGGTTTGTAGTTGGTGATCTCCCGTAGGCCCCTCCAGACAGAAGCAGTATCGTTGTTACCAAACTGCTCCTGTAGTCGTTCTCCGGGACTTGGCTGCTTTCAGTTCTTTCCTGAACTGATATTTAGCTTCTTTGTAGCCGCTGCGGTCCCCCTCCCTGAAAGCAGACTCCTTTGCTTTCCTGAGCTGCCGGAGTTTAGCAGTGAACCAGGGTTTGTCATTGTTATACATGACCCTGGTCCTTGTTGGAATGAAGGCAAGTTGAAGAAAAAAAAAACAAATAGAAGTAACAACCGATAATAGATAATAAATAATAAATAATAGATAATAGATAAAATAGATAGTCCTCCAGGTAAAGCTGCTCCAAGTCGGCATACTATTTGACAACAAATGTAAATGACACAGAACAGACCTGGTACACATGATGGTTGTAAAATAATACATTTCACCCTCCTGAGCGAACATATGGACCTATGTGGGCGTCACACTGTTAATTCCACAACAGCAGATATGTGATGTTATCTAAATTAGTTTTGAGGAATAATAACCCACATATCGACATCGGTATCGGTTGATATCGGAATCGAAAATTGAGAGCTGGACAATATCGGCATATCGGATATTGGCAAAAAAGCCAATATCGAACATCCCTAATACTAATCTTTTCGGTGTGTGTGAAAAGTGAACAAAAAAAGTGTGCACTGGATTTTTGAAAGTCCCAGTGACTTTTGCTTATGAGTGTGAAGAAGAATGATATATACTGTATTGATCTCACAATGGAGAAATTCGATTCGATGAATAGTCATATACACAGATCACATCAAGGCAAAGAGCGTGCTGTTACTTCCACGCTCCTTATAGGCAAAGTGGGGTAAAGTGTCTTGCCTAAGGACACAACGACAGCAGTGGAGAAGGTCTTGCGGTGGGCTCGAACCCACGACCTTCAGGCTCAAAGGCCAATGCTCTACCAACTGAGCCACTGTCTCTCTCCACTGTTCCCCTCTGTTGTCTGCATCAAGCCCCAGTTTCCCAGATGAGGTATAATTGGTTAAATTAATTAAAGATAAAACAGATGCAAAATAACCAGTGTTTAGAATGCCCCTAATGTTCACAGATTATCATAAATCGTGGATTATCAAAGATACTGGAGCTGAGGACAAGGTTACTTGGCGAAATGAGTTACCTTTGCCTGGTAATATGGCTTATTATTTTTGAAAAGGGCCTAATAATTTACAATCAGACTCGTATTCTCGTTATTCATTATTATAAAAAAAAATTGAAAAACATTGCAGTTCTGGCCTATTATTAGGAAAGGAGCTTAGGTCTTTTCCATCATGGTGCTGGCAGGCACAAGGTGTTAGATGAACTGCTCGCTAATGAAATACCTCTCAACCACCATTGGGCGGCTGCCGTTTTCAACCTTGTGAAGACTGCGGCAGAACAAGTGCATTTTGTGTTCAGGGCCGGAGCACATTTGTGGGCTGCTTTGCACTCTTAGTCCCACCAGAGGATTTGTGGGAGTTGTGTGAAAACTCACAGTAAAGGTGCAAAAAAATCAAGTACATCAAGTACAAATTTCACATTAATAAAACTGAAGTGGTGGGGGGTATCAGCCTATGCCAGGGTCAGGCTGTATTTTCTCAATGAGGCGGCTTTTTGATTTTGTCTGCCTTCATTCCCTATCCGGTGTCATGTCTAATTATCGGAGCATGTCTGCCGGGAGCTCCTGAATACTTCCTCATCAAAGCTCTGTTTGTGTTTGATTGTTTATCTCTGACTGCTATTCTCGGCTCCCTCCTGGAGCTGTGATGAGGCACAAGTCTCCACTCCCTACGGAGGCTTATACTGTAAGCTGTCACTGCACCTTGGCTCAGTCAAAATGCTGCCAATTTCTTGTTTTCTGTCTGGATAATGCATTCTCTACTGTCTCTGAGTTTGCCTTTAAGGGAATGAATTTTTCTGATAATAAAAATGTTTTAGTCTCATAATTACGAGTAATATTTTGTAATTGCAACTTAATTCTCTCGCCATTTGAGATAAAATTTTGCCCTTACACCTTTTCAGTCCAAACGAGCACTAATGCACCCACTAAAGCGACAAGATAAATACTAACAGTCTACATTCATGACAATTTAACAAGGTAAGTGTTTCAATAGAAAATATGCTCTAATTCTCTAAGCATTTCTTTAAGAAAAATTTGGAAAAGTTTTGCAAACAAAGCTAGTGCCGATTGACATTTGGAGTTTTAGAAGAACAGACAACAGTGACAGCCACACCACAGATGTGCAATTAAATACATGTATTGAATTAGATGATTATGAGGAAGCTGAAGATGGGAAGGATGGGTGATGAGAGTCGGTGTGGGGACTCCCCGACCCCTATTCTTGACACTCAAGGATATTTAAAAGGGATTTAAAAGAAGTCGCAAAATAATGGCAAATGCATCTAAAGTAAACAAATCTCCTGTATTTTCCCGTTTGTATTGCCCATAGATCTTTTGTGGTATGGTCTTTGTTGTTGAAAAGTGCTGCATTCACAAAACCACACAGAGTGCCAGGTTTGCAGACACAAAAGCGTAAAGACCTGATTGTGTATTGCATCAGTCTCTAATTAGTACGAGAGGTTTGTTTGTCATATGCACTAATTTGGAACGCCCAACATGGATTTGGTGGTAACTATGTTGAGGGATTTTGCACTGATGATTGTTGTGTACATTACTAATTTTATAAATTGTATTGGCAGAATTTTATTATCTAAAAATGAATAACATAAAGGTGTCTCTCCTTGGTGACTTCAATATCAACTGTCCCTAAATACATGTTGAGGGCTCTAAAGCTGTGAATCCAGAACATTAGTCAAAGGCACTGTGTCATCTGTGAAATAAAAGGACAATAATGTTGTGCATGTGTGATTAGGATCATAAATGACAGTAGTCAGCGAGCATGGGTTGTTTAAATACATGCCATTGCCCCTGATTCAAAATACTCCATTATTGGTTGAGTTAGAAGAACACGTTTTGTAGTTTTGATATTGGGTGGGCTAATTACTGTAGCCTTGTTCGAGATTATTCTTTCTCCATCTGCTTTTCTTGCTCGTTTTTCTTTGCTCGTTTGTTTATGTTAGATATGGGTATGGCTGTGCCAAAAATGGAATGATTGCAAGATCACAATCTAAACTTTGCTCAATCTCTATCAACACTTGGAATCAAATTGATAGCAACAGCACACGTTTCACAACTCTTCACATGTTCTAAATAAGTTGTATGTTCTTTTGCTGTGATTTGATTTAAATATTATGCACAGATTATGAATAGAGTATTTAGTAGAATAGAAGATATTGTATTTTAGAAACCAATGATTTAGTTTTAATAAAATGTGTTTATTGGTTGATCAATATGGGGGAATTTTTCCCCTTGTCTGGTATCACTTAAGTATGAAGGCAAATGCTTAATGGAGTGTGAAGGAGATGGTTGAGTTTGAAGCAGGGGAAAAGGTACAAGGAGGGTAGCGTTTCATGGTGGATCTACAAACGAATACACCAGACTTGTGTCCAATTATATGCTCCACAAATAGGACATCCTGCCACTGATTTATCAGCTGCATGTGCATCCTGCTGGAAAGTGGGGTATCTGTGCACTAATGCAGTTTGATACATTTTTCTCTGTGCAGAATCCTAGAAGTTTGAGCTCTTGGAAAGTTCTCAAAGTGAATGTGATACGCAGGCCTGCAGAAGTGAAACCACTGGCCTTGTATATTTGTCTAACATCTGATGTTTTCCTTACATCACAGTGCCACGATGGATGAAGCAGAGAAGTACAAACAGCGTCTGGAGGCCATAGCCGTAAGTCCATGAACGTACTGCCATCAGCGCTCATTTAATGTGTGTGCCAGGGAGGTAGACGGGGGCTAAGCCAGGGGTGTCAAACATGCGGCCTGCGGGCCGTATTGGTTCATATGGACTTTCATTGCTATTAGTAATCAGGTTTATTTCATTTCCAATATCTTATAACACTGTTTTTCTCTATATTTAGATTATTCAAGTTAAAATCAATTTGTATTACTCAGTGTGAGTTATTTTTTGAAGAAGAAAGGTGAGGGTTATGAATAGACACAGACGTATAAAGGAGATGTCCAAACGACACAATCTTGAGTTATTCTGGTTTAAAGCAACACGTTTTTCATTTTCCTCTATCTAAACTGAGAAAGGTTTGTCACTCCTGCAGTATATAACGCACACCTTTTTACATTGGTCCAAACATGTCCCTACATACCTTTCTAACAAATTGTATTTTTTTTTGGTCAAAATGCCTTCATTATGTAAGAATTATGTGTAGCACATTCTGTGGTTCAAACAAACTTCAAGTCAGGACGTTGCCTTGGGCAGTATTCCTAATATATACCTATTTTTATTTGCCGGTACTGAACTTTGGACAGAGAGAAGTCCTCATGTTTTGCATGACCTCAAGCTGTGCTGCATTTTGTTGCACTGCTGAAGTTGCACTGACATCTTCATTAAAGCTGCACTAACTGACTTTATTTTTGTATTAATTACGAAAATGCTATCCATGTCCATGTAGTGCATTGGGATATACGTCCTTTTGAAGAAAAAGTAGCGCAGATTTGTGCTGGCCTGACATTATATTTTCGATCGAGTTTTGATGAAACAAGGAAGAGAATGTGTTTCGGGTCGCAGATTGTGACCAATCACAGCGCACCACTAGCCCCCACTTTCGTGAGAAATCTCCAGGTCCGTTAGCACAGACAGCTGAGTTAGCACAACAAGCGGCGGAGCTAAACTGAAACTTTCTCGTCTTCGTCACCGGGTACTGCTTACACAGCGAAACAGCCATCCAAAAGAAAGTCCCGTTCCTCCACGCTTCCCGGTTCTATCGTTCTATGGTCACGCCATCCACGTGCAAATCCATATCCATGTATTATCCATATTGGGAGAGGCTAGCTCCGTCTCAACACTGTGTGTGTGTGGGGGGCGATAGCTTTGTGGGTGCGGGGAGGGGAGCAGAAAGAGCGAGGCCAGCGAGTCCGCGGCTTCAAAATCCCAAAGTCAGTTAGTGCAGCTTTAAATAATATTGACCCTTGTTGGAGTTGTTTAATTATTATTGCCATTGCTATGCTGTGGCAATAACTAAAGGTAAACAACTCCAATGAGTAATGCCTGGGCAAAGCAATAGCAACAAAATCTGGGGAAAAAGGATTTACTTAGAAACTATAACCACATACACTTTATAGATAATTTAAAAGCTTTTTAGCAGGCCCACATCACTGTGGTGTTCTCTGTGAGATGAAAGTGTGGGGGTAGAAGGCCCTCCAGATCGTGGCGTTCGGACCTAAAAAGCCTTTCAGCCCCTGACCAGTTCTCATTCTTTTAATTCAGCCGCTTGACCAAGATGAGTCCGACACTCTTGTGCTATGCTGTGGCCACATCCTCATATATAATTTAACTTGTTGTGCAATGTGGCCTCTCATAAAGACAGCACAGTACTGCCTCAGGGACAGCTGCTCAGAGCATTCTGGGATATTGAGTTTATCTGATGTCTGCGGTGACACTGTCCTGCTGACAGATGGCTGACCAGGTGTCCCTGTTTTCCTTTTCACTTATGTTTTATTGTAATCTGTTTACACCAGGGGTGCTCCCACTTTTTCAGCATGCGAGCTACTTATAAAATGATCAAGTCAAAATGATCTACCTACTATAAAAATGCAAAACATATATATATTTCTAAATATATTGAGGATTCTTTATATCTACAATGTATGTTGATGTACATGCAAAACCGCATGATTTATGAAATAATTTGCATTTAAGCACCGCCTCTGGCGGTCATCCAGGATTCATAGAACCAAAGTTACATTCGTAACTTTCGTTCTGTAGCGGCACTGTCATAGTAGAAACTCAGGGTGAAGACGTGTTATTATAGATCCATGGTGAAGACATATGTTTACAAGCATTGACCCCAGTCCTCAGCCCTGGTTTGATCCTGGTTTAGCTCCTGTTTTGGTTGTTTTCGAGCGTGTGTGATCACTTTGCTGCTCTCTGATGTGGAGCGAGGATCGCTGCTGTGAACCGCTGTTAAGGCAGTATGATCCATGCTTTAGTGATCAGAGGTCGCACGTTTTGTTTGTTGTTGTTGTTGTTTTGGGGGCAAACTGTGCCGTGCAAAAACGCAAAACTCCGGTTATCTCTGTCCACACGCAAATGCATAAACGGATTAAAAATATATATATATGTAATGCGATCTTCCAATACTACCTTTGCGATCGACTGGTAGATCGCGATCGACGTATTGAGCACCGCTGGTTTACACACACCACTCGCTGTGCATGTCCCAACTTCTTTCAATTAACAAACTATCAAGCTCAACAATTTCTGGGATAGTGTCATGTGCTTTGAAAAGAGTCAGACCAATCTATTTGCAAAATGTAATAGTTGCAACATTACGGGTTTGATTATTATTTTTATTTTTTTCAGGAAAAGCGGCGACTGATGGAGGAACAGGAGAGAGCCAAGCGAGACATGGAAGATGAGCGTATAAGATTGCAGCAACTTAAGGTCTGACTCATTATCTGGGGAATTACTTACTATCTCTTCCAGCATTACACTCTTTGATCCAAAATCCTTTTTTGATACCTTCAAAAATTTTTTTTTTTTTTCTTGCGACACGATAGCATGAAATAATAATAATTATCCCTTTTGTTTCCTTGACCATCTGTCGGGTTGAGCAGTCTTATTTTTGCCTATATGTTTAGACTCCACATAGAGCTGCTCTATTGTTTTCTTACTACTTCCAGACAGCTATTCTCACTTCCTTCTCCACTATGTAGTGCAGCCCCAGGCACATTCCTCAAATGACTGTGCATTTTGTGTCCCATGCGTTTGACTTTACAGGTGTGCACGAATATACAGCTTTTTTTATTATGTTCTACATCTTGTACTAATGAACATATTTAGAAAAATGTATAAGTCTCTGAAGGGTCATTTAAAGAGTTCATGGGCAATGGGAACATTGCAGGTCTTGTTATAGTAAAAGATGATTTTGCGACTCTTGTGGTTGGCCTCTCACACGTCCCAGATTAAACATTGGATTGCACACTGACAGGAAGTCCAGGATCTGCTGTACGCTCAAATAAGAAGCTCCCAGACATAAACAAGAGGATGTTTGGCTGTTGGTCTTAATAACTGTTGTCAAACAAAGGCATCACTGTTAGAGCTTGTTTGTCAGCTAATAACATGTTGGATAATACTATGTGAATTTTCACCAAATTAAATGTCAGAATAGTAAATATATTAGAAATGTCTCTAACTTTTTTTCTTATGTGTTTACACTTGGACTTCTTAACTTATTTGTTGTATTTATTATACATAAATTAAGATGTTATCTCTGTGAATCAGTCTCCACTTTTGTGAAACACTGGTTATATGTTAATTTAGTATTGGACTGCTCCATGCTCAGTGTCAGGCCAATGCTCTTGTTGCCTCTAGCAACCGTCCAATATCGGTTACATTTCTGCACAGAAATGGCCAAGTGTTTTATCTCCACTGTTAAATAATTTACAAAGTTGACAGCTTCTGTTTTATTTATTTATTTTTATTTTACTATAGAGGAAATCTCTGAGAGACCAGTGGCTGATGGAGGCTCCTCCCTTGTCTCCCTCTTCCTTGGAAACTCCACGTTCTATGTGGGGCACTCAGGTCCAGGACAACGGGAATCACATAGAGAAGTAAAGCAGCACAATCTCCTGTTTTTGTATGACCAAAATATAAATAAATGAAGCTTTGTTCATTTCAGTCTTTGTATTAATTGCATTATTTGAGCACAGGTTGGAGTCACAGACTCAGCAGTTGGTAGAAGCTGAGGAGGAGCTCACAGAAGAGGTGGAGAACGGCCAGATGGTGAGGAACTTAAACACAGTTTTCATTACAGTAAATGTACAGTGGTCTATACCTGAATAATGCATTACCCTGCTAATGCAGCTTTGATGTAGTGCATCTTGATGTTAGATCTTTGTGGATAACGCTCTAACAGAACAATCCCTTTGTTGTTTCCCCGTGGGAGTTTGAAGCACAGTATACTTGGACTGTTTTTGTATTCCATATGCATAATTAATTGGAATTCAAGCAGCATTTACATGATCACACAATTGCATTAGTTATATGGCCTTTTTGTTTAATATACTAAAGATTAAAATTTTGGTTAGATTTAAGGAAAGTTTTAAGGAAACTAAAATGACTTTTTCTGCAGGAGGCAGCTGCTATAGAAGAAATGGCAACAGGTAATCATTATTTCAGCCATTTGATCCCTTTCTCAAAGATTTTTCTATTTCATAATGGTCTTTTCAGTACATTACATTGTTATCTGCCTAAATATGGAACTTCTGCTCATCGTGGATGCAATGGTCCAGCGCTCACCTTGTACCTTTTTTCACAGAAATAGTTCAAAATGTTTTGCGAAATGGAAAATACACAGCAGAATCAGGTGAGTTTCAAATCAGTCTCATGTGAAGTGCATATTACAGCCAGAGCTTTCTTCCCAGGAGTTGTCTTTCATATTCTATTCTAAAGACTGAATTGAATGAGCAATTTAGAAGTTGAACATACAGAAATGTTTCTTTTTTAAACATACTCAACAACGACCAGGCATGTTACTTATACCTCTTAAAGAGGACATACCGTATATAATAATCTATGCCAGCTGTGGCTCAATTCAAGTATCTTAGTACATACAGGGGGAAAAGCGTATTTAGTCAGCGACCAATTGTGCAAGTCCTCCGACTTATACTGTGAGAGATGCCTGTCATTTTCATCATAAGTGTACCTCAACTATGAGAGACCAATAAAAAAAAATCCTTATTCTTTAATCTTATTTTTAAATAATTTATTTACATGTTATAGTGGGAGATAAGTATTTGGTCAATAATTAAAGTTCTTCTCAATACTTTGTTAGATAACCTTAGTTGGATATTTTTCTGTAAGTCTTCACAATCTTTTCACACACTGCTGCTTGTATTTCCATATTCCTCCATGAAGATCTCTTTTAGAGTAGTGATATTTTCGGGCTGTCGCTGGTCAACACTGACTTTCAACTCCCTCCAAATATTTTCTTCTGTGTTTTTCCTCCAAACACGACCAAAGTTTTGATCAGAAAGTGTATTATTATTATTCTCCCAATCTTTTTCTCCATCATCCAAATGCTCTCTAGGACACTTCAGACAGGCCTGGACATCTACTGGCTTAAGCTGGGGGGGCACTGTAAGGAAAGAATGCATTGTGGGACCATGTATTGTAAGATTTTGAGTGAAAACCTCCTTCCATCAGCAAGGGCATTGAAGATGAAACGTGGCATGACAATGATCCCAAACACACTACCCGGGCAACAAAGAAGTGGCTTTGTATGAAGCATTTCAAAGTCCTGGAGTGACCTAACCAGTCTCCAGATCTCACCTCCATAGGAAATCTTTGGAGGGAGTTGAAAGTCTGTGCTGCCCAGCGACAGCCCCAAACATCACTCCTCTAGAAGAGATCTCATCGAGCAGTATTGTAAACTCCAACTAAAAGTATTGACAAATTTGTCATTTTCCACCACAATTTTCAAATACATTATTCAAAAACAGGATTTTCTGGATTTTTTTTTTTTCCACATTTTGTCTCTAATTGTTGCGAAAAATTATTGGCTTCTCAGGACCCACTGTATGCGTAATTCAATATTGTTACTCAATACGTAGTAATAATGTTGTTATAACAGATTCAAGTCTCACACTTGCTTATTCAGTCCCACTGTATGGCTCTGTGCTCTGCCCCTTTACACACCGTCAAGAAACCATGGCTATAACATTAGGGCTGGGTGATATGGCTGAAAACTATCACAATATAAGTAATTCATATCGGTCAATAACGATATATATTTATTGTTTTATTTTTTTAAACCTAAATAAATACATTTGTCGTGTCAGCTAACACACGTTAGCAGCCTTTGTTTTTCAGTCACGGGGAATGAGGCTCGAGGAATAAATTGACAAGCAGTGTCCCCCATTGTTAGTCCTGGTTTAGCTCCTATTTTGGTTGTTTTCAAGTGTCTTGTGTCCCCGTGACGGCTCCGGAAAAAGTTCATCTCTTGATTTTGCCGAATGCATCGAGTCTCTGTACTCACTGCTTCTACCGCGCCTCACATGCTATTCCTCGCACGGACATGCATAACTATCGACACGGCTTTGAAAAACGATCTATAGATCCATGGACGCTAAACATGGTGCGGTTGTTCCTTTTGCATTTCCCAGAATGTTTGGCGGTTCCTGCCCGGCTGTGATAGGTCGAGAACCCTCTGCCTACATCCCCCAGAATGCTGCGCGCTTCTGACTATGCTTTACTTCCTGCGTTTTCTTCCTGTTTTTTCTAATGGAGTGAAGTTGAACTATTGAACCTTCTATTGACCTTGTTTTCTATTGATATCGAACATGTGTCAATCGCAATATTAAAGGCTTATTAACCGAGCGCGAGTATCAGACCGCGGCCTTAATGTACAGACCGAGCCGTGGTGAGGTCTGTGCAAAAAGGCCAAGATCTGATATTTCTCCGTACAGGCCGAGCAAGCAAGGTTAATAAATGTTTTATTATATGACTCTCGTCTGTGTCTTTACCAATGCTTTTGAGATATTTGTAAAGTATGTTCATGTCCGACTTGGTTTTGTGTGATATGCGCTGCGGACAGATTGTCATGGTAACGGTCCAAGGAAAGATATCAAATGTGATACGCGCTGTTCGGATCAATTGTCATGGTAACAGTCCGAGATGGGAAAATATCAGACCGGTAATCAGCCAATCAGAACGCGCGTACGGTCCATATAATAAATATCGTTATCGTTTTATTGCCCAGCCCTATTGCACATGCCCATACAAAGTGCTTGTGGAGTTGGAAATTTTAAAAACCATGGCACACACCTGGTTACAGGAAAGGAGATGCCTATGTGTGATGGAACATTGCACCTGCAATAAAAGACTATTCTGACTAGTTATTTGCTTTTATTGATCAGAGTGAAAAATGTTGGAACAAAAGAATATTCAAATCTGTCTCTTCGATGCCTAACAGCGCAATAGTGACTGCACAATATTGGAGATTAGAGCAATATTTGATATGGGGGTTTAGTATTTCGATATTTTTGTCTTTCACCTAAAAATGCAATATGCATTGAACCGCAAGAGAAGAAACTTTAACAAAAATAAGCACAACGAAAATGACATTTAAATGCAGTATGGCACACATATTAACCTCAAATCTTGTCAATTCAATAATTCTGAAAAAAAAAAATATTAAAGTATTTCAACTATTTTATTTATTTCCATTACGCATTAATATTTGTACTTTTAATGTAAAGTGGCACAAACAATTTGCGTTCTCCAAACACATCAACTTTTAGTTTTTGTACCTGGCAAAATGTCAATGTCTATTTTATTTGTATAGCACATATACAACAACACCAGCTGCTCAAAGTGCTTCACAGGGCACAAATGATAAAACAAATAAACAGCATGAAATACACACACAAACATGTAAAAATAAAATGGTAAAACTCAATTGGTGCAAAAGAGTCTTGAAGACTAAGGCTATATCCACACGAAGACAAAACGCTTATAATTTCAGAAACTTTTTCTGTAAACACGGAGTTAGCTCAGTAAATGTGTGCGTCCATATGAATGTAGTCAATACGCCTGAAAACGCTGTGAAACTATGCCAGACCTGTTGGTGGCGCTGTGACGCAATGACGGGATCAAGCCCAAACTTCCGTGGGCATGCGCGGAATTTTGTAAACAGACAACATGGCAAGTGGGCGAGCTGGTACTACATTAGTATGGACGGACGATGAGGTTGAACTGTTGCTTCGGGTCACACTGGATTCCAAAACCAACAAGCTACATTGTTGTTGTCATTATTTTCTGAGTGCGGCGCATGCGTGCTTTAACAAGAGGCGGGGCGATGACGCAAGCGTCTCAGATACATTGCGGAGAGGCAGTAACCACGGAGCGGCATATACGGAGTTTTGAAATTTTTCCACTCTGGGACCTGGTTTCAAAAATTTTCGTTTACACCCCCCCAAAACGCCGGCCTCGTATGGACGATACACTGGATTGATAAAGTATTTTTGCGTTTAGGCCTGAGCTTGACTTCGTGTGGACAGGGCCTAAATTTATCTCCTGTCGAACTCTTTTTGCCAGGTCCAAAAAAAAGTCTTTACACACAGTATTAACAGAAAGTGTGCACTTCGCTATTTATTGTGTAATGACTGCATTTAAAACTTTGTGTTTCTTCAAAGTTTGATCATGAGGAGCTTCATCAGCTTTAACTGTTGACAGTAGTTCAGCCGAGATACTTGGAAATTAGTTTGTTGTTGCTTGTTTTGTTTTCATTTCGATGTCCCGCCCTCCACCATTTTACCAATCAGAAAGTCTGTGATTCGGGCGCCAGAACTCACCGCATCGAGCTAATCTCACTGGTAAAGTAACATGTGGCCGCAGAACTAAAAACGGTCTCGTTATGATTCTCACATCATTAAAGACAAAACAAGGAATAAAACCAGGATTTTTATCGGGGCCTTTGTTAAAGGCGCTATACATAGTTCCCACAGACCAATGAATGTCACATGACCTCCTCGGAGACGCCATCTTTGATGGCACGCTGCTGTGTTTGTGCATTCCATTAAACAGAAGAATGAGAATAAATGTAGATATTCAAACGCAAATTGGAAAAAAAGGGCAACTTTTGAGCAAATAATTGTATATTAATACAATGGCACCACAGTTTAACGTGCTACGGACATGTTTTACATATTTGATCAAATTATGCAGCAAAAATTAACAAGCAATGCAAACATTTCTCAAAAACTTTAGATTTAATACCAGTTGGAGCTCCATTTAATTATTTTAATTATATTAACAATTAATTTAATTAATGCTAATGCCACACGGACACTCTGGATTGCTGTTATTGTTTATTTCCGCGTTTTTGACCGTATGTTTTGGTGAATGGTGGGCAACTGATTTTTCCAGGCGTAAAGAGCAGTTTATTTTATGACATAGATCTTTTTACAGAAGCAATGCTGTTTGTGAACATTGTTTTAGCCCACCATAGAACTATTATTATCTATTTAATACATTTACGTTGCCCTCGAGAGCCTCGGACGCGACACCGATCCTCCTCATAATAAAGTAATCTAAATAATGAAACTCTCAAGTTACCAGATATCAGCATACACAAGTTAGTACTGAGTAAATTACGTCTGTCAACACATTATAAGATACGATACGCACCTGACACAAAGTGCTCCGAGCATATTCTTGCGTGTTTTGAGGGAGTTTCTTGCCTGTTTATCTTCGCAAGCCATAACCTCCGTGGTTGTTCTGACAAAAGCTTAGTCTTCTCACATTCATGAAGTCTAATGATGGGTATACTGTAAAATCCAAGTTTAACGGAACCTCCGGCACGATTTGAACATCCATTGACCCAGCAGGAGACGACCATTTTCAACTTTATCACGACATTAACACGTTTCAGCTTCTTTTTCTATTTTTTGGCCCACAGAATGCCAAGACAAATGGCGCCGGGTCGGCAAATCCCCGTATGTAGTGACGTCATGTGGGAACTATGTATACCCGTTTCTGCAAGGTTTGAATGTTTAGCACCGCCCCCTTACTCGCTCAATGGCTTCTCATTTCCCCTATGCTCTCATAACACAGAGCCATCTAGCTCAATTTGCGATCTGACATGTTAGCTAACATTAGCATTAGCACAACTTCTTGTAAGCTGTACAACAATCACTGATGGTACTAAAGCAACGCACTGCTAACACAATATATAGGTAAAAGAATACCGCTAGTTTCGCATCCAAATTTATTCATTAAAACATTAGAATGTATTTGAGTATTTAATTCTAATTTATTATACAGCTCCTCACAGCAGCAGCAGAACACGCCATTGACTTGAATGTAATTTTTTCTTGATAACAGAACTCTCAAATCAATAATGACCGCTGCCCTTTGACAATGCAATCTCTGTTTGTAATTCAGGTGTGTAATACTGCCATTACTCTGCAAGTGCAACGAGAGAAGCTAGCCGAGCTAGCCACGCTCAATAAACAACTACATATCTATCAATCAACACCATTAAATGTTAATCGGACAATACAGTATACATATACATCCTTAACACACATGCACGGACTTTTTCAGAATTTCTTGTTATCGTTTCCATGATCAAATTACTATTTTAATGTGACAAAAAGCGACCGCGAAAAACCCGAAAGTTACCATTAACATGTAGCTCCAGGGAGCTAGCTAGCTAGCATAACTGTTACCTGCCTAGCACGTCCCGGTGAAACCTTTGGGAGCTAACTATTTTATTTGCAGTTATTGAATACATTTCGAATTGTAAGGCCTGTCTAATATGTGTTCAAATATATATATATTTTTTTTAGAATTATATTCGAATTTTGAAGTCAAAACCCTGGTGTTTACCAGCGCTGTAGAGGACGCAGGCTGGTCGCTGCTCGTTCTGTGAGTGGAGGAGAACAAACGGCCCGCTCAGACTCTACTCAGCACTTTTCACTGCTTGTAATTCTTACACAGCTGAATCAATGACCTCAAGTTTTCAATTAAATTACGAATTATAATACAACTTGTATGTAGTAATAAGCATTTTTATCAACTACTTAGAAAAAAAATTGGGTATAGCTTCTTTAAAAAAGGTGTTGGTCATAGATTTGTTGTTGACAAAACTCTTCTATGTTCAGCTATTATTATTCAGTCCAAGCTGGAGTCATCTGCATATCTGACAACCTGAGTCAGGGAGAGTCGAAAGGTAGCAGTGCCACTTTTTGTCAGATTTTTACATACTGCTCCTTTAACATGTTTGCACTCTTCATGTCTTTTTGCACAATCTGAGTGATATTATCTTTGCCAAATGTAACATTTCTCCATTGTGAGGTCAATAAAGGTTATCTTTTCTTACCTACTGTGAGTAAACTCAATATTATTAGTGTCATCTGAGAACTTTAAAATGTTGTTGTTTGGGTTTGCACTCCTGCAACCATTAGTGCACAAAGCAAATAAAAGGCAAGAACCTTGAGGCATCCCTGTATTGCCTGTTTTAACTGTTGAAGGAGCTGTTTACCCTTACTTGCTTTTGTACATGTAAATGAGGACAAAGTCTTGAAGGCTGAAGAATCAGTAATTAAAACACGTGCATGGCCATTTGCGCGCTCTAAGTGTTTGCATACAAAATGAGACAGGCTAACACTAGCATCGGTTGTGCCCAGTCTCTGCCTATAAGCAAACTGCAACGGATCAACCTCTGACGTGACAAAGTCTCCATGATTCTCTCAAAGCATTTCATGACGAGGCTGGTTAAAGCCGCTGGTCTGTAGTTTTTGTTTGAAGCTAAGCTAAGACAAAGTCAACATCTTTAGCACAATTATAGTTACTCAAACCTTAGGGAAAAGTAATTTAAATTTACACACGCTTGCACACCCTTCATTATTCATTATTCTTCCCAAAAGTCAGTTTTTTTGTTGTCCATAGTCAAAGCTTCCGTCCAAGCGCTCTTTTTCCCTCTTCCACATTGAGCTCCTTCTGAGCTATGGCAGCAGCTACTTTAATTAGTTATTGTAATCAGTGATTGTCTCCGTAGCTTCACAACTTTTACCATTGTGAAAAAATACTCCAGTCAGTGCAAGCAAAGCCAAGTGTTTCCACGCTGTCCTCAGTCGAAACTATAAAATTGAGAGCAAAGTTGATTTTATTGTTATGTCCCCTTCAAAGTCTGGCATTTGAATTTAATGAGTTACATCAGCTGTAGAATACAGCATTAACGAAATGTTGAATCTATTTAATGAGCGTGTGATGCACTGATAATGGATTTGATGTCCTTCGCATTCTTGCTTACAGCTTTAATCACTAATGCCTCCTTCTATAATTGGCACTGATGTGGATTCCTGTTTTTCTTGTTAAAGGTGAACAGATCCCAGCTGTCACACTCTCTCAGGATTTGCTGCACACTGTTAATGGACTGAGCGCTGAAACAAAAACTGGCCCAGAAGTGAATTTAAATAATAATAATGTTGAAGATGAAGAGGAGGGAACTATTGTGATCCGAGCAGAATGCATCATGATCACAGACGAAGGGGATGATACAGCAGATGATGACACCAAAGAGAACTGCGGGGGAAATTACGCTTCAATATCAGATGAAACGCAAAAGACGGTTATAGAATCCAGGCAAACCGAGAGCACGGTGGACTGTACGGCTGAAGTTGAACCACCCGAAAATGCGAAAATACCCAACGGAGTGCAGGAAGGTCATTTAGACGATACGGAAGATTTTCAATTACACACCCAGACTCACGAGGGCGCTGTGGTGTCGTCGGTGCCGGTCTACACTCAAGCTTGCATGACAACGGCACAGGTAGAAGTAGAGAATGAAGTCTGCGCTGAAGAAACGGCATTTGAAGTAGTGTCCAAGCCAAAGGGTAACGTCAAGGTGGAGTTTCAGCAGGTGGCCCTGTCTGAGGGAACAAAGGGCCCTTGTGAACCCCTCCTATCCGATGTCACAAATCCATGCACCAGAAACGAAGCAGAACGCACAAACACGTCGGACAAGGGAGAGGCAAAGATGAACAAAAGGAAAACGTGCCAGTGTTGCTCCGTTATGTAAAGCAGCCTTCAACAATGTTTGAGATTTGCATCCATTCTGCTGTCAAATCAACCGGCACGTGACCGCTGTTTAACTTCTTCTTCTGCTCACAATCTCAAGGAAGTGAACTCGCCCCAGCGTGAAAGGAAAACCAGGAATAGCTTGGACTTGGAATTTCTGTGCATTTTTAGAGGAACAGAGCAGAGTGTGAGAGACTTTTTACTAAAGCCCGTCGATGAATTAACTGCAGATGAGTTATTGTTAAATCAAATATTACATTTACAACAATATAATCAGTTTATGACTTGATACATGAGCGTATATTGTACGTATAATTAGAAGACATTGCTCTTATTTAATATTTTATTTTCAGAAAATACATGCAATATTAGATACCAATATTTTTTCATCCTAAAGCCTATGAAAACCAGACTCTTTTAAGGTCGTCTTTATGAATTTATTTTTTACCAATTGTGCTTTTAAATACTTTTTGATTCTCCTAGAGGCTTGAGCTCTGTGAATGTAAATATAATGTTTTTCAGAAGCACGAGTCACTGATTTTGTCAGTTTGGAATTGAATTGAAGGAAATTTGATTAAACTGGCATTTGTGACACTTTTGGCAGTAGTTGCTTTGTATCTACTAATTTTATGTTTACCTTGCATTCATTAGTTCCATGAATGTGTGTCTTTGGTTAGTAATACTAGTAGTTATTACAATCTACAGTTCTATGCCCATGTACCTATTGCTACATAATGCTTGAAGAGCAACCTCTTGTGGCGGTGCAAATAACAGCAAGTAGATTCAAAGTAAACCTTTTATTGCATAACGTAATGAGAACTGAAAGCATCACATTGTTTAATTTACATATATATGATATGCAATTACTACATTTTAACTTTTATGAATAGATCAATATTTCTGTCTAGTTTAGTGTTTCTTCAGGCCAGGGGCAGAGCTGTTTGGTGGGATCCATGAAGACTGGTGGTGGCATTTGTAGACATCGCACCTGCTCCATGAACTCGTTCTTCTCGTCCTGCTCCAGACCTCTCCTCCGGCTGAAGAGGTAGAAGTGAGTCCTCTGTCCCGAGTCCACATCGAAGAGCATTGGCAGGCAGTCGGAGCAAGATGTCCGCACAAAAACACAGCTTGAATTTTCCGCTGGAGTCCCATCAAAGGTGAAGCGGCTTCCATTCAGAGTAATATTGGAAGTACTGTACATGCATTTGCCGTCGAGGCGTAATCCACGAGAGTAGGATATGTTTGTCACACTCTCGTGGCTGGGAAAATGGATCAATGCACTGTCTCGTTGCCCAAATATCTCCAGGTAAGGCAGGTAGCTGATACTGCCGCCTATGAGGGCCCATGTCCCCTCTAGATTTCGTGGGTCGATTCGTTCTGCAGGTTGAGTGAGCTGTTCACACGTCAGAGGAGCAGAGTAAACTAAGCTGGTGAAGATGAGCAGAAATGACACAAGTTTATGAAGAAGCATTTTGTGTTTTCTTGTTCCACAGACGCACTGGACCTTCCTATAACAGGGTTGCTGGTTTTATATTGGAGCAGAAGATGGAATTTCGCAAAAAATTGAATTCCTGAGGTCATAGTCCAGTTGCCAGGGGATTTAGAAATTCAGAAATTACTCAATTGGAAATTAAGTAATACAATTTAGTTGCACAATTCTCGAGCCTACATATTGAAGATGTATTACTAATTATAACACAGCCACTTTCTGAACTGCCATAAGTCTAGCTTAGTGATGGTATATGTATATGGTATTGTTCACTTCATGGATAATGTAGTGGAAAATAAATATTTTGTGTACACTTAATAAAAATAGAATCTAAAGAAAAATGGCCAAAATTGTGTAGTTGGGCAGAGAATACATTGCATTACATTGTCACACTCACAGAAGCAGCAGGGACTCTGCTCTCTGCACTTGACTGTTGTGAAATGTCATTTGACTAAACTCAGTCACCCTCATGCAGTGCTGAGAAATGACGGCAACATTCAGACATATGCTTCCTGCTGTGCCTTTTTATGTGATATTTAACAAGATAGATTAGTTTTATGTCTTTATTGACAAAGCTGATTTTCGGGATCAGCTTTGTATTCCTGTGATCCTTGTTAATTGGTATCTGTTGAGTTCACGCACTGCCAGAATACACAGGACTCTGGCCCTGGATTTGTGATTAAAAACCCTCCCTCTCAACTGACATTCTCATTCTGAATAGAACTCTTCCGATGCTTGACTTAAACATTTTTTATTAATCAACAACTTTATTTACTAAGTCCATGTTTTCCAACATGTTTTGTGTCTATGTGATCCTTGTCCTTGGCTTGCTTCACCACTGCCACTTAACTCCTCCAAGTTGTCAAGATCTTCTCCGGCCTGTGGACCCCGTCCTACCACAACATGTAAGCGGTGGATGGACACTCGTGGCAGAAGGTTTGAACACTGCTGAACGCTTGAAGGACAGCTCCCTCTTGAACTTTACCGTCATCAACGGTACTAGTATGTCCGTCTCTCGGGCTTCTCGCTTCAATGAGACTTGTTACTATGCCGATTCTGCGATCACACTGGAGGGGAGTGGGTTTCATTTCGGTCAGTGGAACCATACAGTAATCTTCATGCACTCAAGTTGCCCAGATTGTTTTGCTCATCTTACTTGGGAAATCGATGTCATTGTATTTGTTCAGCAGACGAAGAAAAGTGGAAAAAAGTGAGATGGACGAGTTTAAGCAACAAGCGGAGTGTCTGAAAAAGCTCCATGTGAGAGTTGTGAACCCCACCAAAGAATTGTGTCCCACACTCAACAACCAAACAACTCAAGCTCTGAAAGCATAGAGTGGAGACAGCTATGGTTACAGAACTTGTCTGATCTACAAGATGAATAAATATGTGTGAATAAAATGGATTGAAAAATCATTCATTTCATCTATTATTTATTTTTATTCATTTTCTTTTTACGTATAAAAAAAATATATACATGCCAGGATCCGCAAAGTGTCTTACCCAAAAAACACAATGGCCAGAGCAAGGATCACTTCATACCCCTCTTAACTTCTTCAAATACATATAGAGGTTTGTCAATGGCCAAAAACTAACATAATTTTGAAAAAACTTTCATATTCCAAAACGTTATAGAATCTTTCGTGTTACAAGTACTGACTTGATCGTGGAAATAAATGTCAAAAGGTCAAGTGAACATTTTGGGGAAAAATGGGCAAGATAATTTTCCCGTAACTGTTTCACAATGGCATGATTCCAAAAACAAATGTGTCTGTTTGCCAACACTGGGAACTCCACTTGACAAGCACAAATAAAACTGGGATTCTAAGCAATGAGCGAGGTCATTGATCACGGGGTCTTAGGACAAGACTCACTTATAATGTTGTGAGCTACAAAAATAATCCCATTTGATTTGCTATGTACACCATGTTTGCTGCCTTTGCCCTTCTCCTTTGCCTACTGTAGCATCTCGGAGCCTGTCTGTGAACAGCTGGTGGGACCTAAAGCTGGTCTGACTCCAGCGGACCTGAATGGAACATGGGCTTTTGTTGCAGGAAGTCTGAACCATCCTCCCGCTATGAACGCACTGAAAAAAAAAAGACAGCATCACTGCATTTTTCTCTATGTTCAGCTATTTATTATTCAGTCCAAGCTGGAGTCATCTGCATATCTGACAAACAGGGAGAGTCGAAAGGTAGCAGTGCCACTTTTTGTCAGATTTTTACATACTGCTCCTTTAACATGTTTGCACTCTTCATGTCTTTTTGCACAATCTGAGTGATATTATCTTTGCCAAATGTAACATTTCTCCATTGTGAGGTCAATAAAGGTTATCTTTTCTTACCTACTGTGAGTAAACTCAATATTATTAGTGTCATCTGAGAACTTTAAAATGTTGTTGTTTGGGTTTGCACTCCTGCAACCATTAGTGCACAAAGCAAATAAAAGGCAAGAACCTTGAGGCATCCCTGTATTGCCTGTTTTAACTGTTGAAGGAGCTGTTTACCCTTACTTGCTTTTGTACATGTAAATGAGGACAAAGTCTTGAAGGCTGAAGAATCAGTAATTAAAACACGAGCATGGCCATTTGCGCGCTCTAAGTGTTTGCATACAAAATGAGACAGGCTAACACTAGCATCGGTTGTGCCCAGTCTCTGCCTATAAGCAAACTGCAACGGATCAACCTCTGACGTGACAAAGTCTCCATGATTCTCTCAAAGCATTTCATGACGAGGCTGGTTAAAGCCGCTGGTCTGTAGTTTTTGTTTGAAGCTAAGCTAAGACAAAGTCAACATCTTTAGCACAATTATAGTTACTCAAACCTTAGGGAAAAGTAATTTAAATTTACACACGCTTGCACACCCTTCATTATTCATTATTCTTCCCAAAAGTCAGTTTTTTTGTTGTCCATAGTCAAAGCTTCCGTCCAAGCGCTCTTTTTCCCTCTTCCACATTGAGCTCCTTCTGAGCTATGGCAGCAGCTACTTTAATTAGTTATTGTAATCAGTGATTGTCTCCGTAGCTTCACAACTTTTACCATTGTGAAAAATACTCCAGTCAGTGCAAGCAAAGCCAAGTGTTTCCACGCTGTCCTCAGTCGAAACTATAAAATTGAGAGCAAAGTTGATTTTATTGTTATGTCCCCTTCAAAGTCTGGCATTTGAATTTAATGAGTTACATCAGCTGTAGAATACAGCATTAACGAAATGTTGAATCTATTTAATGAGCGTGTGATGCACTGATAATGGATTTGATGTCCTTCACATTCTTGCTTACAGCTTTAATCACTAATGCCTCCTTCTATAATTGGCACTGATGTGGATTCCTGTTTTTCTTGTTAAAGGTGAACAGATCCCAGCTGTCACACTCTCTCAGGATTTGCTGCACACTGTTAATGGACTGAGCGCTGAAACAAAAACTGGCCCAGAAGTGAATTTAAATAATAATAATGTTGAAGATGAAGAGGAGGGAACTATTGTGATCCGAGCAGAATGCATCATGATCACAGACGAAGGGGATGATACAGCAGATGATGACACCAAAGAGAACTGCGGGGGAAATTACGCTTCAATATCAGATGAAACGCAAAAGACGGTTATAGAATCCAGGCAAACCGAGAGCACGGTGGACTGTACGGCTGAAGTTGAACCACCCGAAAATGCGAAAATACCCAACGGAGTGCAGGAAGGTCATTTAGACCATACGGAAGATTTTCAATTACACACCCAGACTCACGAGGGCGCTGTGGTGTCGTCGGTGCCGGTCTACACTCAAGCTTGCATGACAACGGCACAGGTAGAAGTAGAGAATGAAGTCTGCGCTGAAGAAACGGCATTTGAAGTAGTGTCCAAGCCAAAGGGTAACGTCAAGGTGGAGTTTCAGCAGGTGGCGCTGTCTGAGGGAACAAAGGGCCCTTGTGAACCCCTCCTATCCGATGTCACAAATCCATGCACCAGAAACGAAGCAGAACGCACAAACACGTCGGACAAGGGAGAGGCAAAGATGAACAAAAGGAAAACGTGCCAGTGTTGCTCTGTTATGTAAAGCAGCCTTCAACAATGTTTGAGATTTGCATCCATTCTGCTTTCAAATCAACCGGCACGTGACCGCTGTTTAACTTCTTCTGCTCCCAATCTCAAGGAAGTGAACTCGCCCCAGCGTGAAAGGAAAACCAGGAATAGCTTGGACTTGGAATTTCTGTGCATTTTTAGAGGAACAGAGCAGAGTGTGAGAGACTTTTTACTAAAGCCCGTCGATGAATTAACTGCAGATGAGTTATTGTTAAATCAAATATTACATTTACAACAATATAATCAGTTTGACTTGATACATGAGCGTATATTGTACGTATAATTAGAAGACATTGCTCTTATTTAATATTTTATTTTCTGAATTTACATGCAATATTAGATACCAATATTTTTTCATCCTAAAGCCTATGAAAACCAGAGTCTTTTAAGGTCGTCTTTATGAATTTATTTTTTACCAATTGTGCTTTTAAATACTTTTTGATTCTCCTAGAGGCTTGAGCTCTGTGAATGTAAATATAATGTTTTTCAGAAGCACGAGTCACTGATTTTGTCAGTTTGGAATTGAATTGAAGGAAATTTGATTAAACTGGCATTTGTGACACTTTTGGCAGTATTTGCATTGTATCTACTAATTTCACCTTAATGTTTACCTTGCATTCATTAGTTCCATGAATGTGTGTCTTTGTAATAACTACTAGTATTACTAACCTATCTACAGTTCTATGCCCATGTACCTATTGCTACATAATGCTTGAAGAGCAACCTCTTGTGGCGGTGCAAATAACAGCAAGTAGATTCAAAGTAAACCTTTTATTGCATAACGTGATGAGAACTGAAAGCATCACATTGTTTAATTTACATAAATATGATATGCAATTACTACATTTTAACTTTTATGAATAGATCAATATTTCTGTCTAGTTTAGTGTTTCTTCAGGCCAGGGGCAGAGC